AAAAAAAAAAAAAACTAGAGGGTATTATGCTAAGCGAAATTAGTCAGAGAAAGACAAATATCATCTAACTTCACTCATATGAAGATTTTAAGATACAAAACAGGTGAACATAAGGGAAGGGTAGCAAAAATAATATAAAAACAGGGAGGGAGACAAAATATAAGAGACTCTTAAATATGGAGAACAAACAGAGGGTTACTGGAGGGGTTTTGGGAGGGGGGATGGGCTAAATGGGTAAGGGGCACTAAGGAATCTACTCCTGAAATCACTGTTGCACTGTATGCTAAGTTGGATGTAAATTAAAATAATTAATTAATTAAAAAATTAAAAAAAAAAAAAAAAGAGTTCCAGGGTTTTCACCTATTGAATTGGCAAAAATCCCAAAGTGTATCCCTCTGTAGGCACATACACACAGTACTGGTGGAAGAGAGAACAGTACAGCTCCAGCTGGGGGGGAACATAGCAATATTTAATAAATCAGATGTATTTTTATCTTTCAACCTGGCAGCCCCCCTACCTAGGAGTCCCCTCTGAGCATACAGCTCCACAAACCAACCCATGCACAAGGATACTTCCTGTGCAGTGATCCCCTTCAGGAGGGGTCAGCTGAAAGCATCACGCTGGATCCTGCCAGCGCAGAGCTCCGCGGCCAGCAAGAGGCGCACAGATGGCGCTGGCTACTGAATGGCGTGCCACAACACACTGGTGACTAAAAACCAGTTATGCTTTGATGTAAAAGACAAAGGAAAGGAAAAAATAAGTACATATATTTGCTTATTTCTGGAGAAAAATAAAATGAAAGCATAGAAAGACTAGGAGTAAGAAAAATGATAACCTATGGGCATGGGGAACAGGCTGGAAATGGATGGAAGTAAGACTTCCTGAATGCATCTTTTTTTTTTTTTTTAATGTTTGTTTATATTTGAGAGAGAAAGAGACAGAACATGAGCTGGGGAGGGGCAGCAAGAGAGGGAGACACAGAATCTGAAGCAGGCTCCAGGCTCTGAGCTGTCAGCACAGAGCCTAATGTGGGGCTCAAACCCATGGACCATGAGATCATGACCTGAGCAGAAGTCAGATGCTTAGCCAACTGAGCCACCCAGGCGCCCCTGAATGTATCTTCCATGCAGTTTTGACTTTTGAACCATACAGGTGTTTACTTATTTTAAAAATATAATTAAGTCTAGGGGCACCTGGGTGGCTCAGTTGGTTGAGCAACCGACTTTGGCTCAGGTCATCATCTCACAGCTTGTGAGTTCGAGCCCAGCGTCGGGCTCTGTGCTGACAGCTCAGAGCCTGGAGCCTGCTTCGGATTCTGTGTGTGTGTCTCTCTCTGCCCCTAACCCACTTGCATTCTGTCTCTCTCTCAAAAATAAGCATTAAAAAATATATATACATATATGTCTAAAATGAAAAATCAAACTCTAAAACTGAAAACACATGGCAACAAAGAAAGCCTAACTCTCTGTCACATTCACAACATAAGCACACAAAGCAACGCCTGACTTCAAGTGACTTCAGATCCTTAGTGACCATACATCCTTAGTAGGATATACCTAAGGGCAAAAAATAAATGCAAAGAAATGAAATTTTCATCAATAGTTTATTGTTAGAATAATACTGTATATGAAACTATGTTAGTATATCTTAAGTGTATTATGGGACATAGCAAATAAGTAGTTATGTCAATGTAATGAGAAACCAAACATTCAGCTCAAGAGAAAAGACATACAGTGTAAGGTCAAATAACTGACTGATGTTCATTTAGAAATATCAATATGGACTCATGGTTTTTTAAAACCATTTTCCCCAGTCTACAAGAAGGCCTAAAAACATTTATAATCCAGGGGTACCACAAACACCCCAATACCCAGATATTGGTTTTTAAACACCAATCCCCAATAAAAGAAACCAGGTTATCTTAGAAAAATGAATGATCCCAGATATGGGATAAAGAAGGCATAAGGTGGCTGGGATGTTTCATCTTGCCAGAAAGCAAGAAAGCATCCCAAGGCTAGTGGGGCCTCATCAAGGACCAGAGACAGCACGTTGGGCTCTGACAGGCCAAGTCTGAGACACCTGGGCATTGAAAGCAGCAATGACTATAGATGCTTTTAATACATGAACAAAAATATACAAGTCTATAGAAAAGACAGAAAAGTTGTAAACTAATAAAGCAATGGGGGATTCTAGCAGCTGAGGTTAGAAACGAATGACTGCGTGGGCGCTGAGAAGCCTTCCACCAAAGTCCTGGGCTAGGTGTACCTTAAGGACAGAACCGCTGTGCAGAGACGTGGTTCTGTTTGCCACTGTGTTGCTTAAAACAGAGAAAGACTGGAAATCACCTAAATATCTAACACACCTAAATATCTAACAAAAGAAGAGTTCTATAAGATATAACATATTCATGTAACAGAAAAAAACACAGCCAGAGCATGGTGGAATAAATACACACTGCTGACAAGGAAAAATGTCTATGACATTTGTTGCTGAGTGAAAAAAGCAAATCACAGCAACAGCATGTAGAGATACAGATTTTTGTTTTTAAAATATGTATGTATATTTGTAAAAATTATGCACACAAAGACTAGTATAATGATATACACTAAAATAAAATCTTTCGCTGGTGGAATTATCATCTATTTTTTTTTTCCTGCTTTTGCTGGTCTCAGCTTTCTACAACGAAAACATAATACTTTCCTAAATACGTGTGTGTGTATATAAATTTATAAAAGAAAGGAAAGGTCGTATCTATGGTGGGTATAAGGAGCGAATGGCACTAAAATGGGGGCCTGAAATTCCAGAACGGCTATCTTTGGGAGAAGTGCGGTACCTAACCTACAAAAGCACCAAATCAGCAGCCAAGTGCCTCCCTCCACCCCCACTGCCCACTCCACCCCTGCCCCAGGCTAAAGGCCCAGGCATGAGACAGCACAGCAATGCCACCTGGTGGATGCTGCTTGGCCTGTTCAAGCTGACCCCTTTCTGGTTTGGGGGCCCACTGGACAGCGCCTCTTCCCCCTGTCCCTGTCTCATCCCAGCACTCAGGGCACAAGAGGCTGGGTCTGGTTCCCTTACCGGCTGCATGGTGCCGCCTGCAATGACCACTGCCCGGCATTCCTTCACCACTTGGGCAAAGTGCACGGCTGGATTCAGGAGCAGGAATTTGAGGCTGCTCTGACTAAGACTTCCTGAAAAAAAGACAGAGCCAGCTGGGGAAGGAGGGGGTGGTTTGCAGGCAGGCCGAACAAAGACTTCCATGAGTCTGAGGCAAATGGGAGCTCAGTTGTGTCCATGAAGGAGCCACTAGAGATACCACTTTCCCTCTTGATTAGATTCCATTCAAAGTGCAGGACAAGCCCGAGGCAGACAGCACTACCAGCTCCTTTTGCACATGAAGACTGAGGTTCAGAGTGATAGACACAGCTTGGAGGTGACGGAATCAAGACTCAAACCAAAACTCACATACCTGTAACCAGTAGGCTATACAACTTCTCTCATAACCTGGCGTGAGATGCCATCCTCCCCAGTGCCTCACATCCCTCCTCACCGCACCTACACCAGCCCACCCAGGCTACAGAGGACCAGTTTTCACCACCTTGTCTCCTCGTCCTAACCCAGAGAGGTGCAAGGTAGAATCTTTTCATGCTTTGGTTTCCCGGCTCCATGCTGATTCCTCCTTGGACTACCTTGGCGGTTCAGGATGACCCTGCCATCCTGGTTGGCAGTGGTGAGGGCTGCAAGGAAGCCTTCGATGTGCATCAGCGGGGAAGCAGACCGTGGCACCCTGGCCTCTCCCTCATCTCCGTGGGGCACGGGAGCTGCACAGAGCAGAAGGAAGACAGTCTGGGACCACAGATGAGGCAGGAGAGGAGTCCACGCGTGAGGGATGGATATTCTTGGCCCCCACCTGCAGCCCTGTCTCCCCCTCTTGACTCACTCTCGGTCAATGCGGGCTGCAGGCTCTGTAGGAAGTGCTGGAACCCAGCCAGTCTGGACTGCTCCCTGGAGGATGCAAGGACCGTGCCATACCTTTCTGTGAAGCCAAAGAGCTGGGACGGGGAGAGAGAGCACAGGGAGGAATGAGGGTGCAGCAGTGGGAGCCCAGGCTGGAGGTTCTGCTGCACCCCACACAGCCCACAACTTGCCCCCCAACACAAGGCATCTTGGCACCCCCACCCGACACAGCAAGCAGCCCTGCAGTAAGAAGGGAGCAGGGGTGACTTGGGGCTCCAAAGGGCAGGGGAGAGCAAGGTACTGGGAGGGCAGGAGGTGGGGTGCTGTGGAGCCTGGCCAGACCCAGGAAAAGAGGCTGTACCTTTCTGCTGACCATGCTCTTTTCACAGTAGCGCCGCACCTGCAAAAGCAAACCACCGCAGGCACATGCAACAATTAGGCTGGAAAAAAAAAAAAACACCACCTTCCAAAACCCCAGGGAGCATGATTCATTGACAGCTCCTGAGGAACCCAGCCTCCTTGTGGCCAACCGGGTCAACCTCCTTTCTGAGGTCACTCCTCTCCCACCACCCCCACATACAACACAGCGCTCTCCCACAAGAGCAACCTTCATGCACATGGCCTCCTCACTAACGTCTGCATAGCCCCAACCCTCTCTAAAGGTTCCTGGTGACAGGTCTTCTGTGCTCTCCTTCAATATGACAGCACCTAAGATGAACCCTGAAAAGATTAAGAGTTTAAAAAAACACATACGAGCAAAGGCACAGAGAGGGTAAAGCTTGGGGCTTGTTCGGGGGCCCTCCAGTGTGTACAACATGTGCAGCGTGGAAAGGAAGACAGGGAGTTGAAGCCTTTGAAGATTTCTAAAAAGGGCACTATCTTCCAGTGAGGACTCACCAGATGACAGTGTAGGAAAGATCTGAGAAGGGACAGAGAGTGAAGCCAGGAAGAGCGGAAAGGAGGCGAGAGGAAACGAGCCGGCCCTGAAGTGGCAGCTGTGGGATTGGAAAAGCGGTGGGAGTTCGAGTGCTCCTTCCAGCTCTGAGGCCCAGCAACTGTTTGGATGCGGGACCCAAAGGGAGAAGAAAGGCATCAAAATGGCCTCAACCGGTCAGATGGGGTAATGGCAGTGACCGTGATCAAAACAGGTAAGCTGGTTTGAAGAAAAATGGGAAGGCAGGAGGGAAGCAAGCAGGGTCTCAAGGCCAAGCCAGGGCTCACATGCTGCCTCCCACACCAGGCACCATTTGCTCACTCATGTATGGCTAGTACATGTCGTCCTGGGGAAACTTCACCCAGCCCTGGTTTCCTCTGCTTCTGAATGGTGATGGTACCTCCTACCGTGGGGTCCCAGAACCTGGTGCACTGCCTTGGACACAGCAAGTGCTCTGTATTTTTAGTAATTTGGAATCGCTAAGTTGTGAGTCAAGTGATGGCAGCAGTACCCCGAACAGTAGGTCTGGAGCAGGCAGACACCTGCGGCTGGTGTGCAAGGATGGGGGCGGGTCACGCAGAGTGGCCCAGGGAGTGTTCTCAGCCACCTCAGCCCAATAGCAGGATGGTGCTCACAAAGCTGACCTGCTCTTTCTAGTCCAGGGCAAAGACTGGGCCAGAAGAAAGATGGAATGAGGTAAAGGACCTGGGAGTTTCTATCTGTGCTTACATGGTAAATGAAAGGCAGCTTTTCTCACCAATCCCTAGGACCCTTCACTCTGAATTGAAGATTTTTTTTTTTGCTGGCACTTTAAGGGTTAATTACAAACATCTATGCTGTAGATCCTCAGACTTCTAGACTGACTCACAACAGAAGAAATTTACTTTTTATTCCTTCCAGTCTTAACACAGTGCTCTGCTTGCAGGTGGCGGTAAGGATAAGGAAACTGGGCGCTGACACAGAAGGGGGAGAACCTCTACCTTGAACAAGTTGATGTTGTCGATCTGGCTCTGAAAGAGAAAGTCATTGATGGTCTTCAGCTCTGTCCCTAAGGATAAACAAAGAAGGGCCTTGGAATCCTTGCTCTGAAGACCACAGGCCCAGAGGTGAGCTCAGAAACGGCTCAGACCATCTCTGAGTCTCTGAAGACCGCCCTCTTACCTGTTTGCGAAAGGCTCTGTGTGTTGGGATTTTGCTTAATGTTTCCTAAAACAGAATTCAAGCAGGTCAGGATGGGGATCCTCTGCCCCCCACCCCCATCCTCTCACACATTTTGTGTGTACGCTATTTGATGTACTCATCAAATAAGAGCATTCACATGTAAACAGGTTTTTTGCCATTTATGGCACCCAAAGAACCCACTGAGAGGGTGGGAAGCTCTAGGAAGCCTCAAAATCTAACCCACGTTTGCATATGGAGCCCAAAGCCTTGTTATCTCATTCTTTTCACACCTCCTCCAAGGAGGCTGGGGCCAAGGGACCACCCACTTTACGCAGGTGCAAAGAGTTGTCCAGGCTGCACAGTGGCCAGTGGCAAGGCAGAGGTGGAAAGGAGGAACACCGACATTAGACAAAATCCCTCCAGTGGGACGCCGCACTGGTTTTCCAGAACTTTGGCTTCTAGGAAAGCCTTCAAATGACAGCCATATATATAGCAAAGGAAAGGGTAGGTGACACAGAATTGTGCAAAGCAGTATGGAACCTAGAGCCGGAAGCCTCTAGTCTCTCCTACTAGGTTCATGAAGCAGAGGCAGGTCACATCTCTGAGCTTTAGTTGACTCCTCTGTCAACAACAGTGAGTGTGCCTGTGCAGCTCTCCTCATAGGAGCACTCCAAACTAACGTCACCCGTTTCTATTACACTATGCTGTTATTACTACCTGAGAAGTAAGGTCTAGCAAAATAAAAAGGACTCAGGGAAATATAAACTAGAAACCTAAAAAAGGATCTACGGTCAGACAATTCAACAAAGCTATGAAAAATAAGAATCTTCTAAATCAATGGCCAAGACAATTCTTGAGGACACAGAAATCCCAGGTGTCCTGACTGGCATCCAGAGAAGGGACTGCAGCAAGCTTAGCAGGCCAGGGGCTGGGGTGGGCATAGTGCTCCTTACCTCCCAACACAGTCACAAACTGCTCCAACAGATACAGGAGCTGTTTGATGTACATCAAGTTCTTGGCCTTCAGACGCTTCCTGAGGAGACACCAACGGACATCAAGTGGTAGCACTCCCCAAGCTGCTTCCCTTTCAAATAGCCCAAGTTGTGGCCTTTCTGTCCAGTGTCTTTCAAGGCAGACCACAGTGACAAATATGGTCCCAGAGAAAAAGGCTGGCCGTGGCCCAAGGCCTTCACAGCCAGCTGTTGTGTCCCAAGCACCCTCGGCCTATGTGGGGGTACACACCACTGTAAACAGGAGGTAAACAGCACCCTGGCCCACTCGGTGTGGTGCCTGGGCCAGAGATGGAGACCCAAGTGCCTTCTCCCAGAGACTGAGCAGGATTTCCCTTCCCCCTCAGGAGGCAGTGTCTTACCCATATCGTTCCATATACTGGAGCAACTGGGAATGGGCCTGGCAGAACTGGAGAGAACAGAGAACAGGTGTGAAGGCGGCCCAGGGTCTGAGCAAGCAGCCTAGGGCTGTGCCAATGATATCTTAGATCATGCCTAGAAGATGCCAGCCAGGACACCTCATGGGAAACAACCAAGGTGAAGAGAGCAGCACACTGCTTATGCCCCCCTGAATTTCAAGAGTTCTCAACATTAACTAGGAATACCAGCCTGCACAGAGGCAGCGTGGGGTTTCACAATACTGTGTATGCTGCATGGCACAGAGGAGATAATCGATAAATAGTGGCTTTCAGAAATACTGAGAACCCCTCAAAGCAACAATAATGATGTCCAACCATGTGAGGACCCTGCTCCCCTCACCCCACTGTCCTGGGTTATAGAGAACTGGCTGGTACCACCCTGGGCTGGAGGGACTCAGGATGACATATGCCAGTGAGGAACAAGGAAATGAGTCACCTTGTCTGCGCTGGGTGCCAGCATTTCTAAGATCTGGGTCCCCGTAGTTCTAGCCAGTCCGCCCCTGACGAGGCCACTGCCTCGACTCAGCGCACCCTTCCCCACGCCATTGCCAGACGAATTCCAGGTCTAGGCACTTGGAGAGATGATCCACATCCCTCTTCCCCACAGCAGGCACTGGCCCAAGAAGGGAGAGGCCGACCCACCTGGGAACCGGTGACCTCTGCACTGTAGATGCCCGTGATGGTGTCAATCAGGTTGTGAGCCTCGTCAATGACCACCACCTGTCCCTGCAGCCGGATCCCTGCGGCCTGGCGGGTGGCCCCGTGCAGCAGCATCTGGTAGGGCAGCACCACGAGCTGGGAGGAGGGGGTGGCCACCTGAGCAGGGCTGGGCTCCTTGCCACAACAGCCCCACCTGCTCTAAGCTCCTGGTGTGAGTGGTTTCATTTCCCAACCAGAATACGTGTAGGGGCATTCAAGAGTGAAAGCTCTAGCAAAGCCCTGTGCTTTTAGCAACAGACCCCCTCTTCAGGTTTTATGTGGAACATGAAATATGAAACAGACATAACTGGGGCCAATCTGAATCTGACTGAACCAAGAGTGGCGGTGGGCAGAGGGGAGCAGAGAGAAGCGTGGAACCCCTGCTTAGCCTTATCCATACCCCTGAGGTAGCCCCTGAGGCACCCAAGGTTCCTCAAAACACTGTGAAAACCAGTGGTGTACTAGTAGGTAGCCCTGGGTTCTGGTCTTAGAGCTGTTATTTCCCAGATAAATGACTCTGGAAGAGTGACTTAATCTTTCTGTGCCTCAATTTCTTCATCTGCAAAATGATAAACTCTATCTCAAATAAGGGCTAAGGGGTGGAGAGTAAACAAAAAAGCATTCCATGAATTTTTAGGTGCTCTCTGTGATGATGATTTTACAGTTAAAAGAATACGGATAGAGTGAAAATCCAGAAAACTAGAAACTTAAGGCCCAGCTTTAATACTGGCTCCATTACTCACCCACTAAGAGAAAACAGATATATCACTTAACCTTTCTGGGCCTGTGTCCTCATATGGATATGAGAACATATGGATAATACTTGCCTTTGCTTTTTTAGTAGGATACTACAAAGCAAAAATGAGGTGAAAAGTATCTCAAAAAGTTAAGATCATGAAAATCTCAGGACATCTTACTATATTTGCACACAGGTATCTATGGCACTAATCTTGCAATGTGGCAAACAGACCCCAGGCACGGCATGCAACAATGCTGAGGGCTGGGAGGGTTCTGGAATTTAATTCTGAGCACCCACACAACACGGTTCAACGTAGTATATTAATGAGCACTTAACTGCCTTGTAAAATGATTACTCATGTTCCCTGAATCACTGAAAACCTACCTAATCTCTTCTTTCTTATATGGAAGTCTCCATAATCGAAACCCTATTTCCAAAAGCCATTCAAATTAAGAAGTGGCAGTTAGACAGTAAAATCGTACCAAATAACAATGGTATTTTTGATCTGGCAAACCGGCAGTTTTTCTGTTTAAAGATGACACCAAATGTGGCAAGTCTAGAGAAGACTGTCTTCTCACACACTGGTGGGTAGGTTCCTCCGAAAGGCCATCTGGGAACACGTTTCTGGTGCAGCACCCTTACTTCATCCCCTCAGCTTTCGCCCCCGACTCTGTGTTTTCACTAGGACTGCACACCCCTTCCTGGCTTTTATCTGCTGTCCCCAATAATGCCAACTATTCCTGCAACCCAGAGCCACAAGGCACCTGGGGCTGCCTCTGACCCTACGCACCAGGCGTGTGGGTGACAGGTCACCGGTGTGCAGTGTGTTGGTCAGTCCAACCATGGCCAGTGACATCCTCCCAAATTAAGAGGAATGAGGAAACTCCTTGGGGCTGAGGCCACAGTTAGAGCCAAGAGTGACTGCCCAACCCTCCAGGGTCTTCACCTGGGCTGCTGGAATGGCAAACCGGCTCCCGTAATAGGGACAGGCCCGAGCCTCCTTCCCCAGGGACACCAGCTGCTCGATGTCCTTCACCCCCACCAGGACCTCGTCTCGGAGAAGCTGCAGCTGCTCATAGCTGTAGAAGGGGCATGCGGCCCGGTGCTCCTGCCTTCTCCTCTTGGGCTTCTCATCCTCAGCTCTGCTCTTCTCTGAGGGGCACAGGCACAAGGGGGCAAAGGCAGAAAGAATGGTAAGTGTCCATGGGGTCAGGAGCCCAATTCCATAGGGTGGGGTCCGATAAACCCTTCCCAGTACTGCTCGGTACTCAGCACACCATTCTGGTATTTCACTTGGTGTTCGCTAGAAAAAGCCAGTAAAATCATCTCAGAGCCAGGGTTCTGAACTAGACACTGACCCAAAAAGCAAAACGCCTTTTCCCAAGGAGATGGTCTTTAGGAAGGACCCGGCCGTCTGCTCTGCCGTCACTGCCATTTAAGACACTATTTCCCACATCCTTGTCCACTTCTGCCCCACTCCCGACCCCTTCCCAGTACTGCCTGAGGCTACACGACAGTCCCAGAGCTCTTTGCTGCACAGCTCCAGGGTGCTGGCGGCTACCGTGTTTACTTCTCTGCATCTCCATGCAGCGGTCATTGATAAGCTGCGCAGAACCCAGGTTTTTCACATCTTCATTTATACAAAGATTCTAGAAGACAGAGGATAAAGAAAAAGTCAACACAATGGTCCTGGCTACGTGATACACAGCAACCCTCCAGAGCCTGCCTAGCCCCCCAAGGACCGGAAGAGGCCGATCCTCCCACCGCTCGGCCTGCCTCGGACCCACAATTCTTCTATGTCTGGAAGAAGAAGACGAAGGCCCAGGGAAGGGAGCAGGTTGGCACCCGAGCCAAGACCCACTGCCTCTGTTTACCTGCCGAGAGCCGAGGGAGACAAGCCGGGTGTCCTTGCCAAAGGGGCTTCTCTGCACTTCGTGCACAAACTGGGCCAGCTGGGAGTGCGTCCGACTGCAGTAGTAAATCTGCTCCGAGAAAAAGCAGGGCATTTCAAAGAGGAGACCACAATTTCTCCAAATATTGTCTGCACATCAAGGAATACATGGTCTAATAGGCTGAGGGACTGGGGAGAGTGGCCAAAAATACACAAACCTAAAGCAAGGGGATTCTGTCCCACAGCAGATCTCAGTTAACACAGGGCCGGGGCAGTCCCCACCATCCCCTCAGCTCCAGAAGGTCACGAGAACACCCACGACATGGAGCGCCTCCTATCAGTCCTGCTCAGCCGCTAATCCAGCCACTTTACAGGGCTTGTTCATCTCAGGACAGGCCGCCTCCCTGAGCCGTGGTTCCCAAATGGGAAAGAGTAGATTCTGGGGAGTGTGATGGGGGGTGGGCTGTCCACACACACCTCCCAAAGGGCTTGGAAGACAGGCGGGCAGTAAGGCAGGGGGGCACTGAGCTAAACTCTCTCTGTGCTCCTCTGAGATGGAGAACAGCGACAAAAGAAGAGAAAAATAGAGGCAAAATATCTACTTTTAACGGAGAAAACAAGAGTCTTACACAAATGAAACCAAATGATTTTAAACATGAGAGGTGTCAGAATCATATGTACCTCACAGAACTCCATGCCAATGAAAATACAAACCAGAGAAGAGGGAGCCAAAGGGCAGGGTGCTCTTGCTCTGGCCTGCCACCCCCCCTTTCCCCAGAGAGATACCACTGGTCCATGGCCCAGAACGGCAGCTCCTGGATGCCCTGGGGCACACAAGCCCAGGCTTCACTGCCAGGAGAGGCCTCTCCTCTGGGTGCCTAGCCCATCTGGCCAGGTAAGCACCGACACCAAGGTCTGGGTCTGGGGAACCCCAGGAGAGTGAGAAGCAGCTAGGGGGATACAGCCCTGGACTGGGGACCAATCCCAGAATACCCAGGACACGATGTCTTACCTTAGTTACGTGTTCTTCCTCCAGGTCCTCCTCCTCCTCCTCCTCGTCCACTCTGAGAGAGAAAAATAACACGGAACAGTCTTCCCTGGGGACTCAGGTCAACTGAGATGCACTGTACCGAGCATGTGCCATGTATGGGAACTAGCTAAACAAGTAAGCTGTTCCCCGCATGGAGGCCAGCATTGCTGGGGTTGGAGCCCTCAGCCAAAGGGAGACAGACCATTCCAACAACCAGGTTCCACCAATGAGCAGGTGCTCATTCGCTCAGTCAGAGAGACACCCCCAGGATAACACCAACCCCATCCTCCCACTGCCGCTCAGGAGGGAAATGAGAAAGGGGCACAGTATGCCTGAAGCCTAGGTTCAGTGTCTGACTTGTCCCTCATCAAAGGCTACTCTGTCCTCACTGTCCACCCTCCAGAAAACTGGAATTCTCTCAGTTCCCCACAGAACTTTGCTCTTTGCCACCTCAGAGCCTTGGACATGCTGTTCTCTTTGCCTGGAATGCTCTCTCCCTTCACCTCCTCTTTTACCTAGCCAACTGTCAACTTTGAGATCCCCATATAAACATTGTCTCCTCTGTTCAGCCTTCTCCAACCTCCCCCATAGGCTTGGCTGGCCTCTGACACACTGCCATGGCCCCCCTGCACCTCATTCAAAATAACTTATTCTTGGTCTGTTTCCCCCTCCAGGCTGTCACGTCCACGGGCAGGACCTGGGAGTATCTAGCTTCTGTGAATGCCAGGGGTCCCACCAAGGCCTTGGCACACAGCAGGAATTCCACGCACATTTCCTGAGGGAAGTCACAACTGACTGCTGACTGACTGAATAAAAGATGCTGTCACTCAGAACCAGATAAATCTCTTCTCTCGCCAGCACCTCAGTCTACCATTCCCAGCAATGAATGAAGAGCCCATGTGCACTGGCAGATTGGTGGGGAGATAAATCCTGCATTACAAGGCTGAATGTTTGGTCAACATTATTAGTCTAGGTTCCTCAGAAAACACAAAATCTTTCACAGACACACTCTACCTACAGGGCCATCACTGGGATTCTTTTTACTCACCTGGCAAATTTTATTTTAAAAAAAAAGCAGAAATGCTAATTGCTTTGGGGGATTAGAAGAGGAGTTATAGGGTTGCCTTCCCGGTCAATAAATAAATCAATAATTGTTCAGTCAGCTTTGTCTGAAAGGCCTTGATTTAAATCACACAGTAAGCAAACTCAACCGAATCTAGTAAGAAGCTGGACATGTGAAGAAATGAAGAGCAAAAATTTTATATTCAGAATGAGTTGTGTTCTCAGAGAGGCTCATGTCTCTTGAAATGCCAGGGCACTGGAAGCTGTAGAAATCTGCAGGATTACTGGCTCAGGCCCAGACCCTAAGTAGCACTTTCTCTAATATTCACAAACTCCACTCAAGTTCTTTCTCTTGTTCCCAGGGGCCTCTTGAGGAGAAGTACAGGAGTGGGCAAGCAGTCTTGGAGGCAGGTGGCAAAGGGTTTACAGAGCCTCTCTGCCCTTATCTCTTCGAGATAGGATGCATAAAGAGGTCTGGACATCTCAGCCCTGGGCAGGGTCAAAAGTTTTGGTTCTAATCCAGATCCCAAAATCTGTGCTTCAGGGCAGGCCTCTGAGCACCAAAGGAAAAGCCCAGGACTAGATGATTTCACAGGCAAATTCTACCAAATATTTAAAGAAATAATGCCAACCCTTCTCAACCTCTTCCAAAATACTGAAGAGGAGGGAACACTCCCAAACTCATTTTATGAGACCACCATTACCCTGATACCAAAGCCAGGTAAGAACACTACAAACACAGGAAACTACAGGCTAGCATATTTCCCTGATGAATACAGATGCAAAAATTCTCAACAAAACACTAACAAACTGAACTAAATGGCATATTAAAAGGATCATACTCCATGATCAAGTGGGATTTATCCCTAAAATATGATGGCTCATCATATGCAAATCAGTAAATGGGATACATCAATAAATAGAATGATATATAAAAGTCACATAATCATCTCAACACAGAAAAAAACATGACAAAATCCAACGCCTGTTCATGATAAAAACTCTCAATCAATTAGGTACAAATGAATGTACCTCAACATAATAAAGGCCATCTATTACAAGCCCACAGCTAACATCTGAACAGTAAAAGAGTGAAAGATTTTGCATCAAGACAAGGAAAAAGACAAAGTTGCCCACTCTCACCACTCCTATTCAACATAATACTGGAAGTCATAGCCAGACCAATCAGACAAGAAAAAGAAATAAAAAGCATCCAAACTGGAAAGGAAGAAGTAAACAACATGATTTTATTTACAAAAACCCTGAAGATAGCACCAAAAAACTGCTAGGACTAATAAATTCAGTGAAGCTGCAGGGCACATGACCAACACACAAAAATCAGGTACATTTCTGTACACTAATAATAAACTATCTGAAAAAGAAATAAAAGTCTAACTTATAAAGGCATCAAAAACAATAAAATACTGGGGCACCTGGGTGGCTAAGTCAGTTGAGTGTCTGACTCTTGATTTCAGCCCAGGTCACGTCTCACAGTTTGTGAGTTTGAGCCCCGCATTGGGCTCTGAGCTGACAGCTCGGAGCATCCTTGGGATTCTCTCTCTCCCTCTCCCTCTCCCTCCCCCTCCCCCACTCACACTCTTTCTTTCAAAATAAATTTTAAAAAACATTTAAAAAAAAACAATAAAATATTGGGGTGCCTGGGTGGCTCAGTTGGTTAAGCGTACAACTCTTGATTTCAGTCAGGACATGATCTGATCTCATGGTCTGTGATTCTGAGCCCTGCATCAGGCTGTGTTCTGACAGCAAGGGGCCTGCTTGGGACTCTCTTCTCTCCCCCTCTCTGCCCCTCCCCCACTCACCTGTTCTCTGTCTCTCTCAAAGTAAATAACTTAAAAAAAAAACAAACAAACAATAAAATACTCAGGAATAAATTTAACCAAGGAGGTGAAAGACATATACTCAAAACTACAAGACTTTGATGAAGAAACTGGAGATGACACAGATGACAAAATGTCCCATGTTCATGGGTCACAAGAATTAACGTGGCTAAAATGTCCATACTACTCAAAGCTATCTATAGATTTAATGCAATTCCTTATCAAGATTCCAATGGCATTTTTTAGATATTGAAAAAGAATCCTAAAAATCATTAGGAACCACAAAAGACCCCAAACAGCCAAAGCAATCTTGAGAAAGAATAAAGCTGGAGGAATCACAATTCCTTATTTCAAACAGCATGGTAATCAAAACACTTTGGTACTGGCATAAAAACAGACACATAAGACCCGTGGAACAGAACAGAGCCCAAAAATAAACCCAGGTATATATAGTAAAGTACTATTGGACAAGGGAGCCAAGAATACTCAATGAGGAAAAGATGGCCTCTTCAACATGGTGCTGGGCAAACTGAATAGTCACAGGCAAAAGAACGAAATGGAACCCCTCTCCTACACCACTCACAAAAACTAAGTCAAAATGGATTAAAAACTTAAACGTAAGACCTAAAATCATAAAACTCCTAGAAGAAAACACAGGAAAAAGTTTCATGACATTGTTCTTCTCAATAATTTCTTAGATAGGACATCAAAAGTATAAGCAACAAAAGCAAAAATAAACAGGTGGGACTATGTCAAACTAAAAAGCTTCTGCACAGCAAAAGAAACAATCAACAAAATGAAAAGGCAACCAAGAAAGGAGAAAATATTTGCAAACCACCTATCTGATGATAAGGGGCTTACATCCAAAATATATAAGGGACTCATAGAACTCAACAGCAAAAAACAAGTAATCCAATTAAAAAATGGGCAGAGGTGGGGCGCCTGGGTGGCTCAGTTGGTTAAGCGTCCAACTTTGGCTCAGGTCACGATCTCATGGTTTGTGAGTTCAAGCCCAGCATCAGGCTCTGTGCTGACAGCTCAGAGCCTGGAGCCTGCTTCAGATTCTGTGTCTCCCTCTCTCTCTGCCCCTCCTCCACTCACATCCTGTCTCTTTCTCAAAAATAAACAGAAAAAAAATTTTTAAATGGGCAGAGGAACTGAATATACATTTTTCCAAAGACATACAAATAGCCAACAGGTACACGAAAAGATGCTCAACATCACTGATCCCCAAGGAAATGCAAATCAAAACTGCAATGAGATTTCACCTCACACCTGTTAGCATGGCTACCGCCAAAAAGATAAAAAGATGAGGTGCTTGGGTGGCTCAGCCCATTCAGCATCCAACTCTCGATTTCAGCTTGGGTCACGATCCCAGGGTCATAAGGATCAAGCCCCAGGTCAGGCGCTGCACTGAGAATGGAGCCTGCTTGGGATTTTCTCTCCCTCTGCCCTTCTCTCCTGCTTGTACTCTGAAAGACAAGGAACGGAACGGAACGGAACGGAACGGAAAGGAAAGGAAAGGAAATGAAAGGAAAGGAAAGGAAAGGAAAGGAAAGGAAAGGAAAGGAAAGGAAAGGAAAGGAAAGGAAAGGAATGGAACGGAAAGGAAAGGAAAGGAAAGGAAGAAAGAGAAAGAAATGTTTGCAAGGATGTGGACAAAAGGGAACCCTTGTGCACTGTGGGTGGCAATGTAAATTGGTGCAGCCACTCTAGAAAACAGCACGGACATTCCTCAAAAAATTAGAAATATTAAGTAGCATATGACCCAGCAATCCCATTTCTGGGTATATATCTAGAGGAAATGAAATCACTATCTCATGGAGATCTCTGCATCCTCATGTTCAATGCAGCACTGATGAAAACAACCGAAGTATCCACTGACAGATGAATGAATAATGAAAATGTCTCTCTCTCTCTCTCTCTCTCTCTCTCTCTCTCTCTCACACACACACACACACACACACACACACACACACACACACACACACGGAAATATTCAGCCATAAAAAAGAAAGAAGTCTTGCCATTTGTGACAATATATATGGACCTTGAGGGCATTCTGCTAAGTGATGTAAGTCAGACAGAGAAGGACAATTCTGTGACATATCCTAAGTGGAATCTAAAAAAACCAAACTCCTAGAAACAGAGTAGATTGCTAGGGGCTGAAGAGGGACGTGAAAGTAGTCAAAAGGTAAAGGTACCATTATAAGATAATACGTTCTAGGGTCACAGCATGATGACTGTCATTAACTACACTGTATTGTACACCTGACAGCTGCTAGGAGAGCACATCTTTAAAGAAATGTTAAGTATGTGAGACGATGGATTTGTTAACTACCCTTATCATAGTGATTGTTTTGCAATGCATACATGTATCAGATATCAGATCATCATGGTATATATCTTAAACTTACACAATGTTATAACCCAATTATATCTCAATAAAGCTGAGGGGGAAAAGAAAGAAAAGTCAGGGCAGCTGGGACGCTGAGCACCCGATGGTGAAGTTAGAAGGTGCACTGCAGACACACTGAAGATTTTCTCCATCACAAAAGAGTCAACCAAAGGTTTCAGGCCTTGGAGTTACACTCTACACAGACATGGTGACCAGTGTCAATGAGAATGTAGAACACTGGAGTCACCTTTAGAGGAGCAGAAAACAATGCTTCCAAGTTGGGAGCCTAAGAGGGATGACCTCTAGGGGTACTTGTGACTTGGGGAAAGAACTGATACCAAAATGACTTTAATGCCCTAATGCCCAAATACAATCCTGTTACTCCCTTGTTTGAAACCCCACAGCCCCACTGCACTGAGAACACCCAAACCCTCAGTGGACCCATGAGGCCCAAACACACAGCTGCCTCTTCTTCCCCTCTCTCCCTCATTCGCTCTTGCTCAGCCCCTGGGCCTTCTCTGTGCCCCTTGAACTTACCAAACCTGTTCCCGTTTCCAGACCAGGGTACCTTCAGGCTACTGACTAGACCTCTCTTCTCCCAGGTCTCCCCATGGCTCTTTCTCATGCTTTGTCACCCCCTTGGAGGGCTCTCCTAGCTTCACCTGGAGGTGCGACCCCACACGCTACCCCTTTCACGTTTTATTCTCCTCCTGGGCAAATGTGCTCATTTCACAGTTCTGGTGTACATTCCCCACCCCCCGCCATCAACTACATGCAAGCTCCGGAGGGCAGGGGTCATGTCTGTTGTCTGTGGCATCTGGAGCCACGCCACACCTAGAGCAGACCCTCAAAGGTCATTTGTGCAACTAAAGCATGAATGAAAAAGGAGGCTCCCACTAGGGCAGTGTGGCCTCAGAACATCCTCACTGTCACCTTCAGTGTTTGTACTCCACCCAGCAGCTTAGGACTCACACATCAGAAACTCAGAAGCCAGAAGGCGAAAAGAACAAGTTGGGCTAAGGATACATTGATGATTTATATCATAAACCTCACAAGGTGTAGTCTAGGAGCTAAGAGCACATGATCAAAAGTGGCCTGGGTGCTGGGTGCAGGTCCCTGCTCCTCCCCTTCCTAGCCCTGTAGCCTAAGGCACAGCCCCCATTTATGAGGAACTTAAGGGATGGCATTCCATCCCTTCAGATGTCTCATGAGGGACACAGCAGGCTGCCTCTCTCTAGGCACAGGAGCTGCCTCCCTGGGAGCCCCCATGCAGACCAGCACAGGGGAGGTGGGTAAAGGAGAAGCACCATCTTACCCACGAGCTGCTCCCTTCTCCTCATCGCTCTCGTACTCGGCGAGGACCAGCTCCTCGTCCCCACATACCAGCTGCTCTAGGGGCTCGGTCCCTGTTCCTTCTGCTAGCATCTCCCTGCTGAGGTGGAGGAGACGCTCCATTTCTTCTTCTTCCCGTCTCTGTGTAAGAGCATTACAAGTGGGACAGAGGAATCTCAGTATGGGTGCCCCTGCCCCCTTGACGGAGTCAGCCTCGAAGTGGCTACCACCAAGGACAACACACATGCCATTTCGACAGGCCTCGCTGTCCTACTGGTATCTACACCCCAGGCATCAATACCTCAGCTCAAGCTGCCAGCTTCCGGGTGATGAGGGGGTGGTCAGGGCAAGAATACTGAGGTCCTGACCACTCACCCAAAGGAGAAACTCCGTGAGGCCCCACGCAGTGGGACCGTGCCCATACACCATCCCTGCCACTCCGAGAGGACACTCACCATGCGCTTGGCTGCATACTTGAGCTGTGCATTGTGACGGATCTGCTGCAGGCGCTCTTCTCGCTTCTTCCGCCTGACCTGCTCCTCCTACAGGGTGAAGGAGCCACACAGGAAACTCCCGCAGGAGGCCCAAACCAGGCCCTCCTTAAAGAGTTGGGGCTTGGCCTCGTGCCTCTTCACACAGGGCGGTTCTCCCTTCCATGGGCAACTCTCAAGGGTGCAGCAGCATCCCTGACCCTCACTGGGTCCCAGCCCTATTGCTCACTGCAGGTCTACACACTCCCTCCCGAAGCCACAGACTCTCAATCAAATTCATTCCCTTAATGGAGTTTGCAGCCACTGAACCATGTTGCCAATGGCAACAGTGAGGTTCTTTTTCCAGGTGGGTAATGAATGGAACTGCCAATCCCTGGTCTAGAGAAGGCCCACTGACATCAGCTTTAAAAAGACAGAAAGCGGGATGCCTGGGTGGCTCAGTCAGTTGAGTGTCCAACTCTTGGTTTCAGCTCAGATCATGATCTCATGGTTCAAGAGTTCAAGCCTCGTGTCGGGCTCCGTGCTGACAGCGCAGAGCCTGCTTGGGATTCTCTCCTCCTCCTTCTCTCTCTGCCCCTCTCCCACTCTCCCTCTCTCAAAAATAAACAAATAAACTTTAAAAAGACAGCAAGGGCACAGTACCACTGGCTCAAGAAGGCACTGCAAAGGAGAAGGACACACTCATCAACCCCAAATTACCACCCAAACACTGTTTCCTGGATCATTCTCACCTCCCGTCACCCTAGGGCTCACCTTCAGCCGGTCCACCAGGTTCCTTTCTTCTTTCTTCTGCACAAACTGAGTCACCCAGTCAGGCTCTCCGGCAGGCCTCAGGGTGTCTGGGGTCTCTTTGCAGGAGGATGAAAGAAATGGGAGCTGATCCTTCTCATCACTTAAGGGGACAGTTCCAGTTTCAAGGAGACGTGCTTCTTCTTGATGTTTCTTCTGTTCAAAGTCACGGAGCCAGGAAAGGGCCCCACAAATCAGACTTAAAGATTTTCCCTACAGGAAGAAAAAGGTCTTCAGGAAAAGAGAACAAAAATTAAAGCTTTCCAGATGATGTTTCCCATTTTAATAAAGCCTTCAGGGAAGGTCTACCTTTAATTACTAGAAGGTAGTTTAAGACTGAGCTGGGAAAGGGCAGGAAAGGAATTAGCAAAAGGATAGCCAAGGAAAATATGAAAAAGGAAGAAATGAAAATGAAATTCATGGTTTAATTATACAGCTCATTGTTCCTAAAATAATTTAATGTGGCTTATCAGGCTACATATAAATACCGCGAGTTAACAAAATTAAAAGGTGAAGAATTTGGAGCACCTGAGTGGCTCAGTAGGTTAAGCGTCAGACTTCAGCTTGGGTCATGATCTCACGGTTCGTGAGTTCAAGCCCCACATGGGGCTCTGTGCTGACAGCTCGGAGCCTGCTTGGGATTCTCCCTTTCTCTCTGCCCCTCCCCCACTTGTACTCTCACTCTGTCTCTCTCTCTCAAAAATAAACATTAAAAAATTAAAAAAAAAAAAAAAAAAGGTGAAGAATTAGATAAATAGCCCCCAAAAAGAATTTAGGCCAAATAATATATAGCTTGAAATCCTATATCCTCACTAAGGGGGAGCCACCTTGGGCTCTCCACTTTAATACAGCCCCATGAGTCCTGGTCTTCAAAACACTTTAAAAGCAAACGAATTGCTCTGGAGAACACAATTCTTTACTTAAAGACCAGAATTTTCCCTGTGGGTTGAATTGGGAGGACCCTCCGCCCAAACTCTTGTGTTAAGTCCTAACCCTGAGTGTCTCAGAATGTGACCTTATTTGGAAACAGGGTCACTCCAGATGTATTTAGTTAAGATCAGGGCCCTGATCCAGTAAGACTGGTGTCCTTACAGAAAGGGGAAATTGGGACACCAAGGCATGCCCAGAGGGAAAGCGATGTGATAAAACACAGGGGGGCAGGCCAGAACAGTCTCTTCTTTCTCACCCTCAGAGAGACCCACCCCTGCCTACACTGTGATTCTGCATTTCTGGCCTCCAGAACTGTGAAGAGGAAGTTTCTATTACTGAAACCCCCAGCCTGTGAAACTCTGTTACGGCAGGGGGAGCACTAACACAGTCCTTCTGGGAGGCCACTGACATGGGTTTCTTAAGGCTGCTTCTTCTGGTGTCCAAAGGGCAGTTCAGTTCAGGCGAGTCTCTACAGGAACCTACACGTTCCAGGCAGGCAGTCAGCTCTCCGAGCCTGCTTAAACTAGGGGGTCCCAGAGTACCCAGAGGGGTTCTGAACCTAATTTGGGCTTAAACGAACTATAGGTAAAATGCACAGGTGTTCAGAGATGGGGAAAGAGCAGAGCACAGTGGCTAAGGCTCCAGAGTCTAGGCTGCTGGCCAAACACTGGCTCCTCCACTCACCAGCTGTGACCTGAGGCTAACCTTTCTAGGCTTCTTTGCTCCACACGTACAAACATGGGAAGTTGGAGAAAAAAAAAAAAAAGGTGGGGAGGGGGATAGTAATAGTACCTTCCTCAGAGAACTGCTGCAAGCATTAAGTTCCTACCCATAAAGGTTAATACCTACAGGGGCACCTGGGTGGCTCAGTGGCTTAAGCATCCGACTCCAGCTCAGGTCATGATCTCACAGGTTAAGCCCCGCATTGGGCTCTGTGCTGACACCTCAGAGCCTGAAGGCTGCTTCAGATTCTGTGTCTCCCTCTTTCTGCCCCTCCCCTGATTGAGCTCTGTCTCTCCCTCTCTCTCAAAGATAAATAACATGAAACATAACATCTCAAAGATAAATAAACATGAAAAAAAAATTTTTTGAAAGAAAAAGGTTAATACCTACACTAGGATTAGAACAATACGTGGTACATAAGTAAGCAGCTGGAGTTTTTTTTTTTTTTTTTGCTATTATTAAGTAATAATAATACAATTATTACTGTCCTAGATTAAGAACCTATTTCATCAATTTTTGAAAGGCCCTATGATAGAATGGCACTTCTAACATATCTATGGAAAAGCCCCATATATACCATTTCTCTCAGCTTTTGAGAAATACTGAGTGGCAGAGACTTCCAGACAGCACTCCCCAGCAGAACCTGGAGAGCAGCCATTCTGTACTGCCAGTAAAATGGGGAGCTACTGCCTTTAGCCATCACCTGGCTAGCAGCAGGTGAGACATCCCCCTGTAACAATGGCCCAGGGGCAGACACCTGGTTAGAGAGCCAGCACTCTCCACTTCAAAGTGAGCTGAGGAAGTTCCTAAGGGGAAGGTCAAAGTTATCCTCCAGAAACAATTGTGAATACACTCTAACACAAAGAGAAAGGAGAACTAAGGTCCTGCAATTCTATACCTTCTAATAAGACAGCAAAAGTATTAATCGGAAAATGTTAAAAGGATGTATGACCAAATGCTTGCCTCAGTTATGAAATAAATCTAATAAAGTACCCACAATATACCTAGCTCTGAACAATGTTATTTCCTGGGGTACCATCCAAGATATCACAGTCATAAAATACATGCCAAGATAAGTAAATTCATTCATTCTAAACACCCACATTGTAGCAAGTGCTGGGCTTGATGCTGGGAAGCAGCTCCCTAAAAATCCCCACAGGCACAAACTTAACACAGGACCTGCAGGGCATCACAGTTCTCTGCGAAGCATGGACTCCAGGTTTTAGAGTGCCCAAAACTGCAATGTTACACAAGGCACAGGGGGCACAAGGTCAGAAGGTCAGCACAACGTGGTGGAGTCATGAAAGGCTAAAAAGGTGACATGTCCAAGTTTAGTAGGCATCATGAGGACCCAAGTGGGGAGGTGGCCACCCAGGGCAGAGGCCCAGCAGGTGAGGCCTGGCATGTAACAACATGGTGACAGGAGAAAGAGCTTACCAGAGGTGAGATGCAGACAGGGTCAGAATGTGATGGTAGCTGAAGACACAACAAAGATATGAGGACCTGGAATCCGAAACATCAACAACAAAGGGCTAAGAAGAGGAAGAGGATGTACGGAATGGGCAGAGGGCTGAGATGGGGACCTGAAGCCTTCAGATTAAACAGGGCAGAATAAATACATGCTCTTCTGTGTTCTTTTCTGAAACACACTAAATTTACACCAAAGGAAGAAGAGGCTTAAACCCCACAGAAAGAAAGTGGAAGAAGGGAGGGTAACAAGTTTTAGGAGAGATGAAAAGCAGAGAACTGGACGTGACAGAGTAAAGGACTGTAAGCCTAAGTGCCTGCAGAGATCTTCTCTGCAAAAGATAGGATGTGCACCCTCTGGAGGAGCTAAGCCAGGAGGGCCCCGGAGATAGCAGGTCAAGTGAAGGGTGGAGAAGGGAGTTGAAATCAAACCAGGACACTAAGCAAAAAACCATGCACCTGAAGCCACTTCCCCAGGACACCCTCGAGAATACTAACCATCAGCCTAGGACTAGAAGGCAAGAGTTTAGAGGAGCCTTCTCTGGAAAAACTGGATGGCTCAAGAGAAATCACACAGACACTGATCACTGGAGGCCCCAACAGAGAGGCCAGTTCAGTGGTCCACAGCCAGCTTGCACCACAGGCCTGTCCGTCAGCCCTGTGGTAGCTTTTTCTTGAACACCAATAGAAGACAGCCAAAGATCACCAGACAGTTGAGGAAAGCCTTTCAACAAAACACAGAACCAAAACTGGGGGAGGGAGGAGGCTGCATGACAAGATGATACAGGGGGGGACAAAAATTCAAAATACTGCTATAATTGATATCCTCACAAAGATATTATTTCCATGAAACAAAAATAGGATGCTATTTTTAAAAATCAAAGAATAAGAAAAGTTCTTGAATATTAAGGCTAGGATAATAAAAATAAACTGAATAGAAAGACTGGACAGCAAAGCCAAAGAAATCTTAAGTAGAATTTAAAGCAAAAAGAAAACAAAACAAAACCCAACCAGGATGCCCAAAGAGATGGGCAATTAGAAGAAAACATAATTACAGAATTAACCAGCAAGTCCAAAACTCAAAGAATGGGAGTACCAGGAAGATTATCAGATGTGAGAAAATGTCTCAGAATGGAAAGATAGAAGCCTCCAGGTGGAAAGAGCCCACCAAGTGGCCAACACAAGGAACTGAACACACACATCCGACCCATCAACATGAGATTTCAGAATACAAAAGATAGAGGAGATCCTGAAAACTTTGGAGGATGAGGTGGGTCAGGTCACCACCAAGAACTGGGGTGCAGGTTACACGGGACTTCTTAGTAGCCACAATGGAAACTAGAGAGGAAAGGGAGTAGTTGTGAGGGAAAAGTGTTCTGCAGCTAGAATTATATACCCAACCAAACTATCAGTATCAATCAAGAGAAAGGCAGATTAATACCCTTGCAGCAAGTCTCAAAATCTTACCTCCCATACAACCCTTCAGGAATGTTCTCTACCAAAACAAAGAAGATAACGAATCCAGGAAACAAGAGACTCAAACACAGAAAAAACTTAAGAATATGCACAACAACATAGATGAATCCCCAAAATATTACGCTGGCTGAGCATAAGAAGCTGGTCACAAAAGAGTACTTATGATATGATGCCATTTTCAAGAAATTTTAGAAAGTTAAAACTCATCTACAGAGATGGTAAATGATCACTGACTACCTGAGGCTGGGGCAGGGTGTGAGGGGAGGAACAGCAGCCAGGGGTACAACAAACTTTCTGGGCTGGTGGAAATGTTTGGCATTTTCATTGTGGCAGTGGTTATATGGGGGTTTCCATCTGTCAACACTCACTGAACTTGTGGACTTACAAGGGGTGTATTTTATTGTATGTCAATTATACTTCATAATGTTGCTTTTTTTTTTATTTTTTAAGGAGAGATGGGAAATCTTAGTATAATAGCTGTGAAGCAGAACGTAAGAACAAATGGGAGAATTTCAAGAAGGAAGTCTGCAGGGTAAAATGGAATTGGTAATTACTATAGACTGAATTATATTGCCCCAAATTCATGTTGAAGCCCTAATCCCCCATGTGACTGTATTGGAGAAAAGGCCTTCAAGGAGGTCCTAAGGACAGAGCCCCCTGATCCTATAGAACTGGTCTACTTATAAAAGGGGAGAGACACCAAAGATCTCTCTACCATGTGAGGACACAACAAGAAGGAGGCCCTCACAAGCCAGGAAGAGTCTCCACCAGAAGCTAGAGGCTGCCCAAACCTTGATCTTGCACTTCCCAGCCTCCTGAACTGTGAAAAATAAGTTTCTGTCATCTGAGCCACCCAATCTGTGGTATTTTGTTATGGCAGCTGAGGAGCCAGACTAAGCAGTAATTTTATGTATGGAATATCCTACGGAGGCCACTGGATGGTGTGAGAGAAAGTGGTGTAGGCATATTAGCTAGACATACTTTAAAAGGCATACTGGGAAAATAAAAATTATTCGAGACGAAAACCCATAATCAGAGCATACCGGCTTAGGAGAGGCTAACACTTTCCATCTAACTACAACAGGAGGATGGGGCGAGGGAAGGAAAAGAAATGGTAAGAAAGCTGCATCTTAGCTCTCACAAGAGGAAGGTACAATGATTAAAATCCATAAATCAAGAAATAGCACGAAGCTTACAATTTCAAATGTGCTATGCAAGTATATTTCTTAGTAAATAGTTAAAAGAATTATAAGTACCTGCCCAAAGAACCAAGTTTAATACATTTAACTTTTTAAATGACATGCATTATTTTTGATTCATGTTTTGGGATCACTTCACACAAAGGAGAGGGATATGTTCACCACCACCAACTGTTGCAGAATGGTCAAATAAGGACTCGAAACACCCAAATCTATTTACCAGGAAGCCTCTGCTGATACTAAGAACACCTCAGTGGACTGGTAGTGGACTGCTGCACTGGGTTAAGAACCTCCTGTGGGTCGAACATGCCGAGCTCCACCGGATGACAGAGACATGGAGGACGGCCTCCAGGAGGTCGCGGCCTCACTGGGGGACCTTCACATCAACGCAGGCATCTCACCATCACACGGTACTTTCTGAGCGGGAGGCAAGAGGCTGGGACTGCTTGCCATAGCCCTAATCCTCCTCAAGGCCACCCTCTGATAAATCCCTCTCTCATTCCAGTCCCAGAAGGAAAAACTCAGGGCCCTTTGATGGGAACCCTCAGCACTTAGTAACCTCGTTCCTAAAGACTAAACCGATAGGTTTAATCTGTGAAAAAGCCAAACTAATTTGTTTCTCAACATCAAAGCAGTTGTGTACCCAGAACAATCTGGAAAGTTTTAGTGCTACAGGTCTTGGTTTCTACTGGCATTCAAATTCTTTAGCCTAATTGTTCTCAGATTCTGGGGCTGTGTTTATTTATTTTTTTAAGTAGGCTTCACGCCCAGCACGGAGCCCAACACGGCTCAGCCAAACCCATGACCCTGAGACCAAGACCTGAGCTAAAATCAAGAGTCAGAGGCTCAACTGACTGAGCCACCCAGGTGCCCTTCTGTTTAACATTTTAATACAGGAAGTGACTATTACTCAGAAAGATAAACTGAGAGAACTACTTTGCCTGATGTCAAACCATGAAAATCTCTGCCTAGACTAACAAGCATGCTAGGTGGCCTCTGCAGTGTCGGAATCAGGGGTCTCTCAGGACACTTCTTAGCCCCTGATGATGCATACTTACAGTGCCAGTTGGACTCTCAAATATTCCAATCTTGCCAGCGTCCAACACCCGATAGAGCTCAGCCATGAAGTCTTTCTGGATGGAATAGGGTGTGAAGGGAAAAGGGAAATGGATGCCACCATCTTCCTGGGTTTTATTAGCCATGGTCCTAGGGGGGAAAAATAAACCTGGAAGTACTGGCTTGAAAGCTACAACAGTTCCTAAGAGCAGTCTCAATACTAGTTATGGAATTTCTCCTTAGGTTATACACTGTTTTGCAAGCAGAGACCACGTTCTCTCCATTCCAGGTATCGTCACGAAGCCATACCCAAATCATGTAATCCACTTGGTGACATTTATCAGAAATGGTTACACAAAAAGCAGCCTATTAAAGCCCCTGAACAGAAACCACCCTGCCATTTTACCTGGGATTATTTCGCTTTTTAGACACCCTTCTAATGCCTCCAGGAAAAGTGCACAGACTTCCTCTCAGAGACCTGTGCCCCTGATGTCAAGGATGTCGCTCCTGGCTACCTCTGCAGGACGGTTCTCTCACATCTCCACAGTGCAGCCTTTGCCTGGCACAGCTGCCTCACTGAAGCCTGCTGGGAAGGCTGGGAAGATCTGGAAGATCATGACGCACAGGCAGAGAATTACTGGTACGTTCTTTCCGAGGCACAGGTTCACGTATACATACATATTTCACAGGTATCTTTAATGTGCTTCTTAGTTCGTCCTAGCCTGCACTTCCAGTATAAACCAGAGCCTCCTCCTAAAACTTCTCCAGCTTTAAGAAATAAAGAGTTTTCTGTCTGGTTGCAGGCTGGGAGAAGCTCTCTTCACAGGGACTAAGACCTGGTTGCCAGAGCTTCCAATACTGAGACCACAGCATTTCTTGTTCCTTGCCAGGCCAAGGTCTAAGAACTCTGCGGCTCCTTTTTCCCTCCTCTTCTGAACCAAATTTCTCTGAGATAGCTTCTCCATACCCTTTCTTCCTTCATTACCATTTGGAGGACTGACTCTTCCATCCTGGTTCCCACTCTCTTTTTGGAAGTCACTGCTCCAAACTATTGGACAGGCCCATCTCTTCTAAATACAAATAATTATCAATCTGAAATCCACTTGCTATGTAACTGGCCTCAATAAGACTAATGACAGTGTCCATACATTTATGAAAGAAGGGTAGTTGCCATGATGTTCTTCCAGTTTAGGGACACCTAAAAGGACTACAGAGGTGAAAGAACTACAAGGAGGGTGACTTTGCGGGCACCTGAGTGGCTCAGTCAGTTAAGCGTCTGACTCGGTTTCAGCTCAGGTCATGATCTCACGGTTTGTGAGACAGAACCCCACACGGGGCTCTGCACTGATGGTGTGGAGCCTGCTTGGGATTCTCTGTCTCCTCTCTCTCCCTGCCCCTCCCCCACTTATGCATGCTCTCTCTCTCAAAATAAGTAAATAAACTTAAAAAAAGGGGGTGACTTTTAAAAACTAGGACAAGTCAATACTGAGAGGGAGGCATGTAATCAAAAAACCATTCAGATCAGAATAAAAGAGGAAGGTATCTAACAAATATTGATGAGTTCACAGGCCTTTTTACTACTATTATCTCAGTTAACCTGTACCACACTCTAAAGATACAGTTGCTGGATACTAATGCTTACAGAAATTAGTTTTCAAAGGCACAGCTAATAAGAGGAAAACCAGGGATCCAAACCAAGATCCATATGGCTCTTTTTTTTTTTTTTTAATTTTTTTTTCAACGTTTATTTATTTTTGGGACAGAGAGAGACAGAGCATGAACGGGCGAGGGGCAGAGAGAGAGGGAGACACAGAATCGGAAACAGGCTCCAGGCTCTGAGCCATCAGCCCAGAGCCCGACGCGGGGCTCGAACTCATGGACCGCGAGATCGCGACCTGGCTGAAGTCGGACGCTTAACCGACTGCGCCACCCAGGCGCCCCTCCATATGGCTCTTTTAGTAAGATTCGTCTGGCAAAAGATAACTAGCATAAGTAAAAGGGAGATCTACTGAAAATATACATATTGAGAAATTAAAAATTGAGACAACGTGCCAAAACCTAGAACCTAAGGCACTAGCAGAGTGTGATTTCTTGCAGACCACAACTACAAAGTAGTCTGGATTCTAAGAGGGCTCCAAGAACTTCACCAGCAAGTAAACACCCATGGATTGTCCTTCCCCCACTCAGTCACATGCCACATGGAGCCACTCATTGACCTCCTCTGCTTACTCATAGCTTCTGCTTACCCAAAACCTCAGCTTGCACAGGGCCTCTTCGCACCCTCTACCTTTCAGCTCCAACTCTCAATGCCAAGGGAAAAATCTTTCCATGTTTCTTAGTTCTAAATCCCAAGAGAAAAATCTAGTCAGCACTGCCTCTCCATTTAAAATAGATCACTCACTGGTCAGCCTATAGACTGATGAGTTACCCTGCCTGATATAATCAGCTTGGGCCTCGTGCTTACTGTCCACCACTCCCTTCCACCCCTGCGTGGGAAACAATGGACATTTAGGACTCCCCTTACCTCCTTAAAAATGACTCCCTCCCTATTTGGCCACCCCATGTGGGTCAAATAACACTCCCATCCAAACACACACCACCCTACTTTAAGTGACTCTTTTGTCTTATTACCCTGTATTTCATTTCTTCACAGCTCTTAGCACTAGCTGAACTTATTTTTTTTACAATCCTCCCCTACCAGAATATACACAGCATAAAAGGAGGAAACTTGTCTGTCTTGTTCTTCCCTGCCCCTAGCACCAGAATAGGTACTTTGGCACCTATTAGGTATTCAAATAAATCTTGATGAAATGAATGAATAGCCAGCTTGACATGGTGGCTGTAGGTAGAGGTTTCTGTTCTTCAGAGGTGTGGGTAGAATAGTCCCCATGACTAAAATATCTAGTCCAAGGGCCCGTTAATAATTTCAAACTGTTTTCACATAACCTCACAGCAACCCTGTGTGATATTTTTATTAGCTCTATTTTATAGATGAAAACGCTGAGACTCAGAAAGATTGAGACTTGCCCAGTCACTCAGCAAGTGCTTGAACTCAAGATGTGAACCCCCATCTGCCAGATCGCCAAGCCCTTGGGCTTTATATTTCCTCCCTCTTCCTCCCACCAGGGCAAGCAGACTGAAAAGAAAGACTTGGTTACTAAACTTCAGAATGACAACATGAAACAATACAGAAGAAAAGCAATTATTATTTCACTTCCCTGTGGGTGGTAATTATGGATCTCATTATTCCCAAAGCAGCACAAGCCAAATCACAAGTTAAAGAAGGGTTTGCATAAATCCTTGAATAATGGATTCACTAAGCGCTATTAAGGTCATTTGGTGTAACTCTTTCTGACCTCTTCGGGTTGGTTTTGTGGAGGACAACCACGACCCCACACATGAGTTCTCCCTAGAAATCCCCACCAGTGCCAAGGCACATGCCATACACTTATAAAGGACATAAGATACATGAAAGCCCTCAGGGACATATTAATTCTGAGAGTTCATTTTCTCTGGTACCCAATTATCACTCATTATTTACCTGTGTATAAACTATTGCTATAGACTAAATTGTGTCCCCCCAAAATTTATGTATTAAAGGCCTAACCCCCCATATAGACTGTATTTGAAGATAGGGCTTTTGGGGAAAACTGAGGTTAAACAAAATCTAAGAGTGGGGTCCTAATCCTTACTAGGAATGGTGGCCTTATAAGAAGAGGAAAGAGGGAGGAGCTCTCTTTCCACACCATATGAGGATAAGGAAGGAGGCCATCTGCAAGTCAGGAAAAGAGCTGTCACCAAGAACCAAATATGCCAGCACCTTAGAATTCCCAGACTCTGCCACAGTGAGAAAATAAATTTCGGCTGTTTAAGCTCCCTAGCCTCAAGTATTTTATTACAGCAACCTGACACAAGTACGTTCCAGGTACTATTGTGCTGTTAGGCTCCGAAAATACTTGAACTTCACACACCTGGGAGACAACACAGCCCCAAAAGAAAAGCTTTCCTGCACCTGCTGCTAATCCAAAGCCATAGCATGTTGCACAACGGCAATGCTCCGAGGCCCGGAGAGACAGCCTGGGCTGCAACTCCCACAGTGACACCTTGCTGGGGCCTTCTCTCTCTCTCTCTACTTGTATTTATTTCCACTTTCATGACACTTCCTCCAACAAGCTGGTCAATTCCATTCATCTCAGTCCTCTTGACTGGACTCTACTCCACCTTGATTCCTTGTAGATGGGCAGTGGAGCAGAGCCAGTAACAGTATGCGAACTGGGCTCGGGTGGCCAGGTCTGGGATCGCAGCTTATGTGAATATTCCTAAGCCTCAGTCTTCTCAGGTAACAGCACTTATTCACATGTGGTTGTAGTGACCACTGCATAAGGCAATTTATGAAAAGCGCTTAGCACAGCCGGGCTAATCTGAAGCCCCCAGACGCGTGCTAGCTAGTCTCACTCCAAAAGCGCTTGGGGCGTCAACTACAGGTCCCACCCTCCTTGGTAGGCCCTTACCCCTCCCATTGGTTTCTAGCCTGCCAATCATGCACTGGCCCCGCCCCCAGGTTCCAGAACTCTTTCCCGCTCCGACTCGCCCTGCCCCTTTGCACTACAGCTCGCCGTGTTTGCGTTTCCACCAGCGCCTGCCCTCTCTCCTCTCGCTTCGCCTTTTCACACGGCACCACGCTCACCGTCTTCGCCCGAGGGACTGCTCCACGAAGTCCAGACCAGGGAGGAGTTGAGGAGTCTGAGCATAACGCTACGGAATTTGAAATCGCGGCGCCTCTTCCTCAACGTCGGCCTCTGGGAGGAGCGTGCTGCGTTGCCACGCCCCCGCACCACTGCGCCTGCGCACCCCTGAACTCGAAGGGGTGGGTGGGAGTTGGTCTCCTTTTGCTCCACTGCGCTTGCGCGGCAGACTCAGGGCTGGGCTTTTTTTCTGGCGCTGGGAGTCCTGGTCATGACAGACCCCTAGAGGCTGTGGTCTGAAATGCTCGCTGGGTTTTGGCCCTATCGCTTCAAAGCTCCACCTCCCTCCTCCACCTCCCCCACCCCCCACTCCTGGTATGAAGCCTCTAATTTAAGAAGCACCATTGGAGAAATAGAAGATGATAAGACAGGAAGGTAAGTCGGGTCTGGTGGTAGAAGAC